CAAGAGGGTCACCATGAATGTTTCACACTGTATGTTCCAAGGTGCATGGATGTGTGTTGAATAAGGGTGCATTGTCCTTGGTATTATTAGATGGAGATCTATCTGTAACTGAAAACATCCATCAGTGAAATTATAAAATTAGAAAGAAAATTGAAGAATATTCTGTGCATTCTCTAGTCACCGAGAATGTGATAAACAACATGGTTGAACATATATATTAAATGAAAAATCCAATGCAACTGCTTATATTTGCTATATGCCGAGGAGGAAAAATAACCAGGAAAAGAGGGTTAAAAACCAAACCTGAGTAAACTTCAATGAACCTGTGAAGATAAGAAACAAAAAAAGCAATCTTCTGCTTTGCCAAGAGATAAAGGCTTATAACTAGCATGCCGTTCTAGTGATGACATATGGCCCAGCATCATGGCCTGTCTTTTGCTGAAATGAAACAAAAACATGTGTCCATGTTGAGAATTATGGGGAGTGCAATGACTGGAATTATTTGTACCGAGCAAACAACTAGATAACAGGCATACCTGGGAAAAGCAGAAGAAACAAATGTCAATGTGCAGAACATATTGCCATCAAAAGTGCCGTAATGAGATGATCTCAGTGCGGGTGCCTAAAATAGAAAATGAATCAGGAGTATCTAAACAACCACTACAATGAGATAAAGGAATGGAGTTTGTGAATTGAACCTGGAAAAGAGGAAGAGTAGTCATGACAGAGTGAGACATTCATCTAAAGGCAGCCTGGCTGAAACTTTTCCTTGCTGTTTTGGCACAAACTGTGGAGAGTCTGTTTTCCTACTCTGTAGTTAAATACCTGAAATTATCATTTGCCTCTATGTGTATGAAATATATTTTGATAAGATACAAATGCATCATCTGTGCTAAATATTTTATATATGTAGATGTGGCAAATTTTAGAGTTACATTTGCATAGCTCCAAACTATTCTAGCAGTCTATCTGGAGATATTAGATATACTTGGGGCCAATATATCTGATCACTGTTAAAAGTGGTGGCACTTCACTTCAAAGGTGGTGTGAGTTTGCACCAATTTGATAGATATGTAATTGAGCTCAACTGGCTTTTCTTCTTTTTATGAAAGATTAGTAGTGCAGACATTTTTATGACTAAATAATCATTTATTGTCCTAATGGTTGTTCACCTTTTTATGGTCTTACCCAGTCATCTACTTTCAGAAAATTTACATTTCAGATAAAATCCTTGTGATAAATATAATTAATACTTCTCAGAAAAAAATTAGCTTTCAACATGGAATAAATATTTAAGCACAATCATTTTACACAATGCTTGCTGTCCTAAAAGAAACAAATAATTACAAAACTGAATATTACTGTGCATGTCGTTTAAGATAAGAAAATTGAGGCAAGAAGTTGAAACACTTTTCAAAGACTGCTTATCTCATTACTGGCTGAGGAGGGAATCAGATCTTTCTTGACCCATCTGCATGTACCTGAGTGTCTGGAATACAATATATCATTGTCATCTTGAAACAGTCTTCAGTTTTTATTGTTTTGTGGAACTCTTTATTAATTCTTTTATTAGAATTGACATCTGATTAAATATTTTATTCTGTCTTTGTAATCTCTTCATGTACAAAGCATGACTTTCTGCCCTGCTAAAGGGGATTTACTGGGCTAGATGTTGATTCAGTAGGTTGCAAGTGGAGTGCTTGCCTCCTGAGGGTCGTATTAAAGCTCAAGGGGAGTTTTTTGAGCAACATTGCATCTTAAAGACGATATATCAAGCTGATAGATACATGGCTCTTCTGTTGAGAAATTCACAGTAGAATTATTGCTTGTTGCCAGTTATTACTTGGGTAGTAAGGAGTCTCTTGGGAATATGGATTGGATAAAAAGGGTTAAGCCAAGGGAAATGTTACACTGAAGACCTTGGTGTTGAGGAGTGTTTGAAACAGTCAGAGGATGTTTTCTGTGCAAATTAGAATTACCATTTTGTGGGGTAAGTGTTCTGTAGTTTTAATGATCAAAGAGTGATTAGTTTAATAGAGCACCTTTCTCATTATGACTCAGCAGAGACCTGACAATTTATTTGCTCTACCCTCCTGCCCCCCTGCCCCATTCCTTTGGAAGCACTGAGTGAGGACACTTGATAGTACATAGCTGAGGACGTTTTCTGTGGGCTACAGAAGTCTTTCAGATTAAATAATTTTGCTGTATATTCTAACATGCTGGTTTGAAAGTACTAGGCTTGCCTTTTTCTGCAGGTCAGTCGACTTTCACAGGAGAGATTTGTCCAAATTTTCTACTCTTTCCTATGCTGTGCTTTTGTTGGTAGAAGAGATTTGAACATTTAGCTGAGATTACCTACGCCATTAAAATAACATCCGCGCTCTGGAATTGTTATTGACATTTAGACAGCTACATCTTTGTTTTTTGATGAACATTCCCTGTATCGCTATAATAACCACCTCTATACATACATAAAGCTTAATCGGAGCTTTTACTTTGTAGATCTCAGAGAGCTTTACAAAGAAGGATAAGTATTATTATCTCCATTTAACAGATTGGTAAATGAAAGACAAAGGTGAAGTGATGTGTCCTGACAGAACTGGAAATAAATTTAACTCTTTTGCCTCCTCATTATATTGCTCACACTGTCTCTTTAGTAACAATGTGAACTTTGGCTTCCTGGTCAATTTACAAGTCAGCTAATTAGATTCATTTTTAGATGTAGCTTTTTTTTTTTTTTTTGCTGTGTAGGATTTCTGTGTGCACTTAAACAACTGGTGCATTTTAAGCTGCAGACAGTTTAGTTTTAAATGAGGTAGTACCCTGCTTTGAAGGGTTATTGAGTCTTACCTTGATGTCAGCTTATAAAAACACTTAAAAACCATCTAGTAAAAGTTTTTACATTAATGTCATCATCTTTCCGGTGCTGCTTCAGTTTGCCTGTTAACAACTTCAGGAATAACTTTATAAAGGATGCCAAAATAATTCATGATTATCTGCAAGTACTGTACTTTACATCCGCAAGTTTTAAAACCTCTTATTGCACAACATCAGTTGTGTTGCTACTAAACAGAACAATATTAAGTGAGGTAAATACATGTTCTCCGTTTTACTGCGAGAGTGAACTTCATGTGTAGAGACATTTGGTGTGCAGATGTTTGTTTTTGATGGCTCAGCTGGAGGGATATTGGGGGCTGTTTAAGTTAAATCGGCCATCTTATTCCCTCTGAGTTGTGATGCCAACAAGCTCTTGATTGGCCTTGGAGGTGTTGGTAAGGCATTTACAGACCATGAATTACCTTAGTCTCAGAGATCATCTGGATTTGGAAACAGGAAGATATTTAGTTTTACTTGGGATTTACTGGAGCCTTTTTGCTTAGCTTTAGACAACAGCAGCAGAAGGAAGTATCCAAAGGCAGCCAGGCTGGCTCAAGCCCCAAAATTTTACATTTTCTTTTTCACAGTGGCAGAGAGGAGGGGAAAAGAGAGAGAGAAGCTGGAGATTCTGCTCCACTTCTTCTTGTCTTGAAAAAAAATCCCAGGAGAGCTGCAGGGTTAGGGGCCAATTCTCAGAAGTAAAATACCTGGTAATAACTCCAGTACCCCAGCAGCCAGCTTTTAGTAAAAATTTTGTATGAGAATTGGCAGACTTTCAATTTAAGATAAAGGGAACAAGTCTCCAGATTGGAGTGGGACATGTCTTGTGCCTTTCTACATAATACAATTTGGAGCTGAAAAATTTTGACATTCCCCAGACATAAGTATGCATAAAAAGGGTAAAAATGTCAGGTGTTACTTCGCATGTCTCTGTATGTATATATAGGTATAAATAAAAACCTATTATATATACGACTGATGACTTTCTCTTTCAGAGTCAAAGCATTCTTTCACCTGTTTTAGGAAGAGAATGATTCAGACAGTGTATCGCAGTCTGGTTCTTTCCTCTTAGTAACCACCTCATATACAGGTGGTAAATGAAAATCATAAAGCTTACTGTAAATTACTGTTTGCTCATCTCAAAACTTACAACTTATGCCCTGAGGCTTACAACTACACTTTTAAGTTACAGATCTGTGAGACTGTTTTTTTCCAGTAGAGAGACAGAGAAAATAGCAGCAACAAAAACAATTTCTGTTGGAAAGACCAAAAGAATAAAGCAAATGGTAACTAGTGGACCCTGAAAAGCAAAACTATTATACAAGAGTTTAAATTACAAAGGCAGTAACTTTCCAGTGTTTTAACTCTCTGGAAAAGAGCTACAGATCTATTGCTGCAGAGATGCATGATATATAAAAGTTCCAGGTGTGTTTATATACAGAAAGTTTCTTCAGCAGATTGTTTTCTTCTAAAAGAAAAAACAAAGCCATAAAGTCACAGGTGCAAATTGGCATGCTTCTTTTTACTGCATGCAGTGAAATTTGCAGCAGTTAAAGGTCATTGGTGGTATCATTACTGACACATTTTGATCTGCAGTATCTTGGACTTCATAAAAATTAATTTCCTTAACAAAACTGTGGGCTAGAGACTGAGACTTCAGTGAATCTAAAGACATTCTTTACTGAAAATTTCTTTCATTTTCTTTGAAAATTATTGTTAATTTATAAGGGTGAAAGGGTATCTGAATGATAAAATGTCTGATCAATTTTACTTTTGCTGGGTAGCATTTCCTTGAGCATTTCTTTGCTTCTTGGAGTGGCAGAGTTGGGCACAAGAAGAAGCAGACGATATTTGAGCAGGTGGTAGAAAATATGTTGCTTCTGAATTACTTTTGGTGTTTGGAGGTTTGCTTTTAGCAAAATTATTTTCATGCAACTGTATTGGAAAGAAGAACATTAAGGAACAGCATTGTTCAGTAGCGAAAATGTTAAATTAAATGGACCATGTTAACATTACTGTTGATCCTGAGGAACAGTTTTTCCAGTATATGGAGCATTTTGTTTCCACGTGGCATATGTTCTTCATGGTTTTCTCTGCTCTAATTCATCCATGTTTTTCAACAGCTCCAGATGGCGTGATGCCTCCAAGGCTTTCATCTGCCACTCCGACCAGTCTTCAGGTTGTCTGGTCTACACCAGTTCGCAACAACGCCCCAGGCACACCCAGCTACCAACTCCAGATGCGGCGGAGACATTCTGCTGGTGACATTTTAGAGTACGCAGACCATAGCAAGACCACCATCAACTGCTGAGCCAGAAAAGTCCTGTTATCTTGAATACGGCTCACCTTTAGGGTGGCTGGTTTTGTTACGAGAATGTTTTAGTCTTTCTTTAGGTGCTGGGTTGTTTTATGATGTAACTCATGCTGCTTTTCTTTGCAGTTTGCTTCCCAGCCCTACTGCTTCCTTACAACACAGTGTTGGAGACCTTCAGCCATACACTAAGTATGAGATGAGAGTGGTTGCCTCCAATGGTTATGGCAATGCTTGTAGCAACTGGACTTCAATGACTACAGCAGAGGACAGTAAGCAGTCCTGTCTTATTTGACTCCCTTTAGCAGAAAATATAAATAACAGTTCAGCTGCAGTTGTACATAATTCCTTTTGGTTATCTCTATGTAGTTTTACATTTCCATTAAAAAGTATGAATACTTCCATATGTATTTTGTGAAGCAGCACCTTACCCTGTATATAATATCCTTCAATCCATATGTAGTTCTTTTATGGTTAGTTTAAGATATACTGGTAAGTACAGCTTTGTAAGTGGTATTCCTTTACTTTCAGGGACTTGATTCTGATTTCAGTCATATCAGAGAAAATAAGTTGAAGTTAATAGTATATGACAGTTGTCTTATTTCTGTGTTGAGAATCCTTAAGCTGTACCACAGCTGAACAGAACTTTTCATTCCCAGTGAACTTTGTTAATTCAAAGTGGTGATCTACTGGCTTGAAATTGGTTTTGTCATTGTCAATCCCATCACTTTCCTTGTTAATTATTCTATGCTCTGCAGACTCACTCCACATAATTTGTTCAACAGTCCCTTGATTTAACAAACAGGTATCAGTATATATATATATCAGTTAGTTGACAGGATAGGATTTTGCGCCTCATTCAATATGTAAACATAAACGTATGACAAATCTTGAGTTTGTTATTCATAACACATATAAAACCCATAAAATTTCCAGCTGTTTTTTAAGAAACTGAGCTATTAGTTTTCTCATACAACACAGAAGGATATCTAATAGCACGCTTTTTTAAAAAAATTATTGGGAAAGGTGCGGAGGGTGAGAGGTGGTCCATTGCTTTCTCAGCCTCCACACCAAAATTTCTTGTGGTCTTATGCTATTTAACACTTATATGAGATCTGCATTTTAGGTAAATTCAACCTGATGCTCATATGCAATTGTTGTAGCAAATATTCAGTGCTGGTGACTCAACTTCATTTTAGTTCCTTGTCTAAATAATAATGGACAGATGTCTATCTTGAGAAAACACAGAGCAGAAAACATGTGTTTCCACAATTGTAGAACATTTTTTCTTTGAAGCTGAGCAAATGATTCACAACAGAATTTTATCTGCTAAATGCATTTTAGCTCCAAATGTATAAATGCTTCCTATAAGTAATTACCTCATAAATGTACGTTCTGAAGTCTCTGGTCTTTAGATACCAGAGCTGTGTAATCTACCTGTAAAAATCTTTGTTGAGATTCAGTTTACTTCATTATAATTGTTTGTTAACAAAAGTGGATACAATATTATTAAACTTGTCTACATTCATAGTCTAAATTCAACCAGAGAATTTGGTCAAATTGCAATTATTGTTTAGCTCTGGTCAAATAGTTCACATAGTGTTTCTTTTCAGATAGAAGAAGCATAGAAGTACATTTAAAAAGCATCACTTGTTAGTATATGTAAAAATTGCTTTTGTGCAAAGTAGTAGGTGCAGAATTTTAAAACTCTCTTTTGATGAGTTAGGGGTAGGGCAGAAGACCTACACAGGAGATGCATTCCTAGATAGTCTTCTTGAGCATATATGTAGGACAACTGCTGCATAGAACTTGTATGGTCTGTGTGCACTTGCATGAAATGCTAACCTTTGCAAAACTGGCTGCAAGTGTGCCTTAAGTTAGTCTGGAAGGCAGATGTTGCCAAGGGAAACCTAAGAAGAAGAAAATAAAAATATAATGCTTTTTACTGCTGTTTACACAATTGAAATATTTTGAGACTGACAAGCAACTTGCTTCTTCAGCTATGATTCTGCATCTTGTTCCTTAGCTTGAAACAAACTTCTGTGGTTTGGTTATAAACTCCTTGTCTCCAAACAGAAAATTATTTTCCTTAAAACATCCTATTACATTTGCATTGATACTGCTGAAGAATATATGCTGGTTTATCACCAGTATCCAACAACCCTTGTAATTTAAGAAAAAGCAAAATACCCAACTTTCAGTGGTGACAGAAGTCTCTGATTTTGGACTGCCATCTAGGAAAGGATATTTAACTCAATTGTGTAAGGCTGAATGATGGTCATTGCATCTAACCAGTATTTCTGTCAAGGTTTCACATGTTTAATATTTAACTCAATTGCGTAAGGCTGAATGATGGTCATTGCATAGTATTTCTGTCAAGGTTTCACATGTTTCTTATAAAACTGCCTATACTGACAGTTTGTTGCAGAAATACACTTAATTCCTGGCCCTGCTAACCAATAGACTGACTTTTTAAAGTACAATTTAACAGCTGAAATTTCCCATATCTCTTACTCTGTTGAAATACACATGTGTACACAAGTTCTGCTGGAATTTAATTCAGTGAATATATGTCCTTTCTATTTCAACAAAGCACAAAATATGTGTAGGAATAAAATATATGCATGTCTGTGTGACTATGTGCACATACACCTGACAGCAATAGATGTAAATCAACCCATCCATATTGTGATGATTTCACAATATATCTGTGTATTCTTTTAAAGTCATTAAGAGTTCTAGTAATACAAGCTGATGATTTCACAATATATCTGTGTATTATATTTTGTTTATGATAAATATCTAGTAAAATAGAAGGATATAAGGAATGATTAAGGAAAAATTAGCAAATGCTACCATAAAAATATGTTGCATCTGACAATGAAATATCTTAATATAAAGATTAGTTGGTTTGGGGTATTTTTAATGCAAGAAAAAATGCTGTAAATAATTTTCAAATACTTCCATTTACATGATCATGACACTAGTAACCAATTCCATGCATTTTTTAAAGTCTAACCTGCCCGTGCCAGATAACAATAATATACATACCTATGAATATTTAAAAACCTGCTAAACATGCGTTAATAAAAGATGTTAGTTCCAGCAATCTTCAGTATAGCATCAGACTATTTACTGTCAGATTACCTACAAATAGGAACTGTTGATAAAGTTTCTGGATTAGAGCTTGCTTTCAGTAATGAATGTAAATTTAAGATAGCTCTCTTGAAATCAGTGTAATGACCACTGAACAGAGAGGTCAGTATGTACCATTGAACTGAGAGCAGAATTTTATCCATTGTATTCAGAAAAGAAATGAAATCTTCTAGATATTAAAAAAAATTGGCAAGTTTTCCTTTTAGAAATGGCAAGTCTTTGAGCTATCTGAGAAGGGAGCTGCAGAGGCATTGGTTATAGTTACCTGAAGCTGGCCCAATGGCAGCTGCTACGTTCTTATGGCGTAGATTTCAGACTCACAAAATTATATTTACCTGAAGCCAATGGCAGCTGCTATGTTCTTATGCTGTAGATTTCAGACTCACAAAATTATATTGGGTGGTAGCAATCCACATGGTGCAATTTTTGATCAGAGGGATGGCTCCCAAATGAGAAAGGTATGTTTTCTAGTGCTTGAGAAAACCCATCTTGATTTGGTCAAGTTTTAAGCTAGAAAAATGACTAAAGAAAAGCTGCCTGTCCAATGGCAGCTGCTATGTTCTTATGCTGTAGATTTCAGACTCACAAAATTATATTGGGTGGTAGCAATCCACATGGTGCAATTTTTGATCAGAGGGATGGCTCCCAAATGAGAAAGGTATGTTTTCTAGTGCTTGAGAAAACCCATCTTGATTTGGTCAAGTTTTAAGCTAGAAAAATGACTAAAGAAAAGCTGCCTGTTACTTTATTTGTTTTTGAATGTTCAAGAACCTGTCAGCAGCCCAATGAGTTGCATACAGCAGGACATCCTAGTCACCAGAATGTTCTCTACATTGACTGCATTTCAGTTCCATGGGTCAGTGTACTTATTGAAGCCCTTTCAAAAGTGCCTGGCTTGCAGTAGCTGAAAGAGAAGATTTTGCAAGTTGCCTAGCAGACTGTCCAATTTTTTATTTTCTTATTTCTTACGTGACTGCTAGTCCATCTCTTTTGTATATAAAGAAGTTACAGGCCAGCCCATTGTTTATTCACAGTAAGTAATGTCAGTAGTACACAGTAGTCACTGGAGATCATTATGTATTGAAGATGCTAGAGAAAAAAAAAACCAAAAACTCCTGCCATGTGTCAGCTGAGCTATTTCTTGTCAAATCAGGGAAGCCCCAAAAGCTCCTGCCATGTGTCAGATGAGCTATTTCTTGTCAAATCAGGGAAGCATTATTCCTATCACAAAGAGTGCCACGGTGTGCTCCTCTAGCATGCTTATCACAAAGCTTTGGATGAAGAGCCCTATTCTCTTAAAGCTTCCTGATGTAGGCAGTAGAGAGAAACAATCCAGAACAAGAGGGTAAATAATGCAGTTCGTCTCTTAAAGCTTCCTGATGTAGACAGTAGAGAGAAACAATGCAGAACAAGAGGGTAAATAATGCAGTTCACAACCTTTGGAAGTGCTTGCTAACCATAGCACTATGTAAGTTAGGTCTAAAGAATTTAGGCATATAAACAAATCCATAAATATTTGATGCGAATGTGGTCACCTGTGCTCAAGAAAGACAAATGGAAACTGAAATGAGAAAACAAAACCTGGTGAGGTGATAAAGGGAAGGGAAATTCATGTGAAATATCTGAAGGCAAATAGCAAAAGGACAGAACAAATTAAGCTGATGTAGTAGTGTGGCACACATGATAAGACTATCCTATGATAAATAGTAAAAATGGCCCATGCATGCCTACAGAATAGGAGCTAGAACTTTTTTGACTGGTAGAACTGAAGTTCTGGAGCAATGTGCATTTGGAACAGTAGAAGGCAAAAAGTCTGAATATTCTGAAGATGGCTCTTAATACATATTTGAAAGGGTTCATATGGACTACATGTCATTGCATGAACAGCTTAATGACTTTTGAGTTCTGTGATCTGATGTGGTCCCTTGTGCCCGAAGTTACACAATTTGGATTTTCTGCTAGCTATAGTTGGTAGTATATGAAAGACATCACATTTTGTTAATGTGTATAATTTCATTTTCCATGTTCCTGAAAAGAGTAAATGATTCAAAAATAAAAGGCACAGAAATTTGGCTGAGTGAGAGAGTTTGCCAGCATATCAGGTATTTCTTATTAGCTTTAAAGGGCAGTAGTCCAGATACATGTCTTAATATATTAAATATAAGCGTAGATTCCCCCGAAATACATCCATGAGAGTTTAGCTCCTTGCTTCCCAGGCCTCACAGCAAGTAAACAAATGTGTTCTTCTAGTCAGGGAATTAAAAAAGATTAATTACAATTTTGTGCCTTCATTTTAAGTCGAGTCTGAACTTTTGAAGCAGATGTGCAAAATAGCCTGCCATAAAAGATAATTTCATTTGCTAAAATGAAACTACCTTCTAGTATTAATACTGTAATGAAATGGTTTGAAATATGACCTAAGGATCTGAAGGAAAAAGATGCCCACTGTTCCCATGTTCAGTAGTTACTTCTATAAACAATTACATCCATGATTTTATTTCCATCATTGACAGGCTGAGCTGTGTAGCTGTCATACTTTGCAGTCTTCCCTCCAGTGACAACCACATTGACAACATGTTATACTACACATTGATTTTACAGTTAAGGAGCTGATTGTGATATATAGGGATTTTAAGAATTCAGCTGAGAGGCTGACTTTTGCCTTTTATCATTCCATTAAAATTTTATAACCATCTTTTTCATGTCATTTCATCCATGAATTCTTACTTTAGAAAGTGATAGCTACTGCTGTGAGCATAACTTTTTTCATGTTCAGAGTTCTTTATTGTATTAGCAAACTATCCCAATTATAGTTAATACTCATGTTTTACATAATTGTGGTGACCCTTTCAACCAAGCAGTATCATGCTAGTTGATTTGTATATAGAATCAGATGATTCTGCTTGCCATTTAAAAAGAAGCTGCACTGAATGAGTGTTGGGGACCAGGATTTAATGCTTTCCCATCCAGTGGGGCCAATTAAGCATCTCTCAAATGTCTTGTTTGAACTCAGAAAGTCTTAAAAGCCTCTCTTTTAAAAGGGCAGTAGGGAATGTGTGGGTAGGTATGCTAGCTACCAAAATATGCTTTTTTTGAGGGGAGAGGGAGGTACTGGGGGGACCCAAAGTTTAAGTTTGACATCTCCTCCCATACATTACAGATTGTCCTTAAGGAATACGTCTGAACTCTGGAGGGGTTGAAGCTCAGGTTCAGCTAATTACCATGAATATTTCACCTGTAATGCCTGCAACTTATTCAGTAGGATTAAAAAGTCTTATCCGTTCCCTTACGGCAAACTGCTTGAATACTGGGGGGGCTTTTTTGTTTTATATTTTTTCCCCTCCTGCAGAAGCTCACAATATGATAGCTTATTTATGAGGTATAATTACAGATAAAATGCAAGTTTGTAGTTCAGTGGTAAATACCATATTTCAAGTCTTGTCCCCCATTAAACTGGAATTTGCAGCAACTTATTTTCAAGATCTTCAATTCCAAAGCAAATTCCCCTC